GCCTCCTGCCAGGGGTGCAGCACGTGGCCAGGAGTTTTGGACTGAAGGTCCCAAAACTGTTGGGGACGTGGTACCAACCAGCCCTTCTCCTGGCACGGAGGGACCCCGCAGGGCTTGCCCGTCCCTGCCCAAATGACGGCTGGAGGGAGGCGGGGAGGACGCGGGACGCGGGGACGCAGCAGATGCATTTCGTCACCTGGCCAAGGGGCGTGTGTGTGTGTTGGGGGAAGGGGTGGCTGGGCGTGTGGGCACATTTATTGCCTCTTCCCGCCAGCGCCGGCTCCCTGTGCACACACAGGCAGCAGGGACCCAAGGGCACAGCCCACAGCTCGCTGGACTTTTACCCTGCTGTGCAAACAGGCAGGCGCCAGATTAGGGTATCAGTTGGAATTTCATCCTGTCAACGGCACCCGCAGCCTCTCTGGGCGAGCGGCGGAGCATCTTCCCTCCAGCCCGGCCCCCCGCCCACCCACGGGCACCCCAACGCAGCAAGTGAATTTGGGAGATGCACGTTTCATCCCCCCCTAGGACACTGTTCCCCTTCCAGCTTCCCCCTTGAGCAAGACCCTGCAGGCGATGGCGATGCCCGGGGCTGCCCACCACCCCGTCCCTGCCAGGGCAGGATCCCACCGGCTGGTCCCTACGTGGCAATGACAAAATTGGATGTCAGAGGCAGGCGAAGCCCAGCGAGGGAGGAGGATGCACGCAGAGGAGCCAGCCCCACCATGGGGTCCACATTGGAGTCTCCACACAGAAGTGGACCCCAGTTTCCCCAGTTCATCCCAGCTCTCTGGGCAGGTGGCCCACCCAGTCCCATCCCTTTCCCATACAGCACCAGCTCCGTTGCCTTTGCCTCCCCTGGCCTGTTTTAGCTCCTGATCCCCACGTTCCCTTGCAGGGGTGCAGGGAGACAGGGCTCCCACGCAGTGGGCAGCCCAGGCGCCGTGCCGGTGAGCACGGGATCACCAGGGTGCAGCAGTAGGTGCAGCCGCTGTTGCAAGATCAGGAAAAAATCCTTTGCTCTGTCCCTGTCTCTGCAATGCCACCTCATCCTGCCCATCCTGCCCCCATCTCCTCCACCCACGAGGACTTTATCCTGCATCAGGTGTCCCTCCACAGCCACCTGCCCTGCCCTGGCACCGCAGCACGCTGCCTCTATCCAGGCAACAGCTGGCACATTTGGGGGCTGGAGGAGCCGCTTTGGGCAGGGATTTGAGGGCAGCCCCTTGCTCGGTGCCCTGCAGGACCGGGGGCACGTGGCTGGGATGGAGAGAGGAGAGTGTCGGGCACCGATGCCAGCTGTCCCAGGCACTATCTCACATCCTCGTTCTCTGTTTGCTCTTCTTGGACAAGGAGGATATTCAGCCCGTCAACAGCCATAAAACAAGATTAGAGGCCAGGAGGCGCCAATGGGAGGTGGCCACGTCTGTGGGCAGCTGGCCTTGTTCTTTGGCCTCCACCAGCCCAAACCCTTTCCCCGGCTGCCCCCGGGCCTGTGAGTTTGCAGCCATCGGGTCACCCGGCATGGCCAGCCTTCTCGGTGCCAAAGCGAAGGGACCTGGCCCTGCCACACCATGGTGCGGGCCATGCCACCCCCAGCAATGCCCCTGCGGGACGGGCACACCGCAAGCTACACGGGCAAGGCTGCTGCGTCGAGACATCCATCTGCACCGTTCCTGGTGGGGCTGGATGGGACCCCTCGCGAGGGGGCATCAGTGCCGATGCGACCCCGGAGCTGGCATCCCTCCCCTGCCGCAGCACTGTGGGCTGGGAGGAGACAGCAACAAACCCGTGGCACGCGGGATTCCTGCTCACTTTTATTTTCACCGATGCCTAAAAAATGTGAAGGAAAACCAGTTCTGCCTTATATACATGAAAACTGAGCCAAAGCCCCGAGCCAATGCAAACATTCCTCCTTGCCACTGAGCGCAGCTGTCAGTGGTGGCCAAGGAAGTCGTCAGTGGCCCCCATGGGAGGGAGACCCAAATCCTACAAGAGCTGTAGCAGGGCAGCGGGTGCAATGGGATGGCAGTGACCAGCTTGTAAAAGCCACGGCTTGCCTGGGCACCTTGTTTTCTCGGCCATGAGGAGCTGGGAGCGGTGCAAGGCTGGCGGCGAACAGGGCATGTTGGGTGCTCTGCAGGCAGCGGGGGACATGTCTGCTCCTCCACTTTCCTGGAGCTTGGAGAGACGATGCTGGGAAAGGCCATGCAAGCTGCCATGCAAGGATTGCACTCCCTCATCCCTGTCTTGGTCCTGGGAAGCCGCAGTCCAGGAGCACCCAGAACAGCCCTGAGCAGGAACCGTGGACCCTTCTGTGTCCCAGCTGTGCCCAGCTGGCCTTCAGGGCACCTGAAACTGGGCTGTAAGTTAACGTGGCCAATACAATGGTCGGGACTCTGCAGAGTGAAGGGACATTTCAGCTGCAGCTCAGCAGCAAAGAGGATTATCAGTTACCGATCTAGGGCACACAGTGGGCAAGAAGTCGTACAGTGCAAGGAGGAGGGGGGAGACAGGGAGAAAAAAGCCTGAAGTCCTCTGGGTTTTGAACAAAGTAGAAAAAAAACACTTCTTTGTCTTTCTGGAAACCACCTCTCCATTACCTCACACCAGGGCACGTGCCAGCGCTTCTCCTCCCTGCGATGGCCCCTGCCCACCTCAGCAGCAGCTCCTGGTGCCAGCGGTGGCTGCGCTCCCTTGGAGCAGCTCCCCAAAGCTCTCCCAGTATCGGCATTTCTGGACGGCCTGGGACTAGTTCTTGCACCCTGTCCCGGTGGCAAACCTTCTTGTTCTCCTCTCCAGGGAAAGTGGTCTCAGGACTCAGCAGGGTGGTCTACCTCCAGTGTGCTTGTGCCTGGCTCCCTCCTCTCCTCTCCTCTCCTCTCCTCTCCTCTCCCTGTGCTCCCTGTGGAAGATGGCCACAGTGTCTCCTTGCCATGGCACCAGGGCTGCCGGACACGTTTCCGCTGGCTCTTCGTGGCTGCAGGGGCAGAGCTGGGGGCGCAGGAGTGGGTGCTGCCAGGATTGCTGGGGGACATGGGTAGGGGTGTGCTCCAGCTCACCACCATCTCTGTGGTTTGAAGGGGTCCCATGGCCAAGGGTCCTGCATGGCTCCCGCAGTCCAACTCGCTCCGCCTTCGGCACCCCACTTCCCGGCACGGCAGATCCAGGAGACCAGCTCAGCGGATATTTGTTTTGCCTTGAGTCCAGCCAGGTCTTTTTTCTAGTTCAGTCTTGTTCAAACTGCCCCAAAAGCACCAGGCAGCTGGATTGCCAGGAGGACTGAAGGAAGGATCCTACCAGCTCCACCTGAAGCACCATAGGAAAGCCATCGTCCACCACCACCCTCTCCTTTCTGCTGACATTAGGACCTTGCTTTGGGCTAAAATACCAGAGACCAGACCGGTGCATGTTTCCTACAAGAGAGCAACACTACCTAACCTATGGTTTTTACATAGGAGAGAGCCGACCAGCCCCTTGGGAAGGTCCTGGTGCCACCTCACCCAGCCTTGCTGGCCGCCCCGTTGGTTCAGCTGGGGACCATCGTGTCTTTGGGAAGGGCCTGCCACTCTTCAGAGCACGCGGACCGGCTGGGCTCTGCTGCATAGTGCTTATCTCTTGGTGTCTATAGCTGGTGAAGGGGGTTAAGGCATGAATTCCTCCTTGATCGTTAGCGGAGACGAGGAAATGAGGTTTGGGGCGCTGCTGCTGCAGAGGCCTCCGATGGGTCCCGGTGTGCCGACAGCGGGTGGGGTCGGTGTGGTGGTGCTGGTGGGCTGGCTTTGCTGCTGCATCTTCTTTTTGTTCACCTTCCTCTCTTTTGCCCTCCGATTCTGAAACCAGATTTTCACCTGCAGAAAGACAAAGATGATGATGCAGAGATGGGGATGAATGCAGCCAAGCATGATGATCCTCAAGGTCCCCCTGGGGCAAAGGAAGCATCCCAGAGTTTGGAAGAGAAGACAGAGATGTAGAGCAAGGCGGAACCACCACTGCCTGCTTGGGCTGCAGCCCTTCCCCTCCCCAGCCCCATCTCCACCCGGGACATGGTTTTGCCGGGGCACCACAACACTGACCTGCCGTTCAGTGAGCCCGAGGGCAGCGGCCAGCTCGGCTTTGCGGCGGATGGTGATGTAGCGGCTGTAGTGAAACTCCTTCTCCAGCTCCAGGCGTTGGTGGTCCGTGTACACCACCCGGTACTTGTCTTTCGTCCTGGTCTTGCCTGGCAGAGAGAGAAGAGGGGGAGTGAGCTGAGAGGGGATGGAAAGGAGGGGTAGGATCATCACTGAGGGCATGGAGGAGCTACACAGCCACCAGTGGAGACATGGCAAAGCCCCAGGGATTAGTGGAAAAGAGAGTTGTGAGGGTCCTACTGGATTTAGGGCCCATCCTGGGTAGCACCAGGGTGTTTCTCCGTCTTGAGAAGCACCTAGGCATTGGGGAAATTGCTTGGTAGAAAGCGCAGGAGAGATTTAGAGGCATCCTGAGAAGATGGACCACAAATCCCAGGTGCCATGACACACTGTCCCCAAGAGGAGCAGAGCTGTAAGCCCTGTGGTGGGCTGAGGACAAGCTGCCTGCAAAAATACAGCCTGGGAGGGCTGAGGGAAGAAGCCCAGCTCTTTGCCTAGAGTGGACTCAACCCTAATCAGACATCAGAGAATCTCCATACAGCAAAACCCCAACCCCCAGGCTGCAAATCTGTTTCTCAACCAACTCAATTTTATTTTTAAGGCTGTGTCCCCCCTGCTTCCCAACTGCAAGGAGAAGGGCTTTCCTAAGCCACTTCTTCTGCTGAAAGATGAATGTAAAAGCGTGTCAGAGGCAGGACAACCCATGGCCACGGCATGCTGCAAGTGGGAGAGGGGCTCCCTCAGGGTAATTTCCCTTGCTGTATCCAATGGGATGCCAGAAGGCAGCTGGCTTTCTACTAAATAAGCAAGAGGCCAGCAAAGGTCCAGCTCCTGCCATCGAGCAAACCATGTGTGGAAGCACATGAGTGTGTGCCCATGCGTGGGTGCACATGGGGGTCGGGGTGGGCACGGGAGGCATCTCGCCCCGCTGGTACTTGACTCCAGTGCTCCCAGGCACAAAAGCAGCAGCCCCGTAACTCAAGTTAGCACACAATTTCCATAACTGTGTCACTCTCTGTGTCCTCCTGCCATTGCTCCTGGAAGTAGGTGCTGGCATGGGCTCAGCACAACGTGAGTGGGGTGATGGCTGAGGGTCCCAGCATGGTCCCCAAGCAACACCGAAGGGAGGACGGTAGGAGAACAGCAAGGCTGCAATATGGTCAGGAATAACAACCAAATCTTCCAGCACCAGGGCTGGGCTTTAGCCACGAGCTGTGTTTGAGGGATGCGATGAATCCAGTCATTGCTTTAGAGAGCGGGGAGCCCAGCTCACCCCAGGCTTGTTTGGAAGCGAACACCTAATCCCTTGTCACCACCACCGAGAACAAACCAGCCTCTGGCCACACAGGGTGACTCTGCAGGTAAAAGCAGGGTAAAAAAAGGTAATTTGATTGAGCAAGATGTGTACAGGAGATGTCTGCAGACACGCGGCTGAAACTCAGCGATGCAGTACGCGAGGGGTCTACGGCAGCATTGCAGGGTGCTATTAGAATCATAGAATCATAGAATGGTTTGGGTTGGAAGGGACCTTAAAGGTCATCTGGTTCCAACCCCCCTGCCCTGAGC